CTCCATCTCAGTCTCCCGAGTAGCTGGGATTACAGGCACCTGCTATCACGCCTGACTAATTTTTGTATTTTTAGTAGAGACGGGGTTTCTCTGTGTTGGTAGGCTAGTCTTGAACTCCTGACCTCAAGCAATGCACTGGCCTCGGCATCCCAAAGGTCTGGGATTACAGGCCCGAGCCACTGTGCCCAGCCTGATTTTCTTAATAGCATTTTCTTGCTTACTTTATTGTAAGAGTGTGATATATAATACATAAGACATATAAAATATGTGTTAATCAACTGTTTATGTTAACAGTAAGGCTTTTGGTGAACAGTAGGCTATTAGTAAAAGTTTTGAGTGAGTCAAAAGTCCAAAAAGTAGCTGAGTGTGGTGGCGTGGTAGGGTGCTATACTACCACGTTCAGCTACTCAAAAGGCTGTGGCAGGAGGATCACTTGAGCCCAGGAGTTCGAGACCAGACTGGGCAACATAGCAAGACTCTTTAACAAAAGAAACTTACATGCTTATTTTCAACTGTGCAGGGGTCAGTGCCCCTAACCTCCATGTTATTCAGTGATCAACTGTATTTTTCAAGGGATTTACATTTTTAAAAATTTTTAAACTTTATTATTTATTTATTTATTTATTTTGAGATGGAGTTTCACTCCGTCACCCAGGCTGAAGTGCGGCACTGTGTTCTCAGCTCACTGCAACCTCCACTTCCCGTGTTCAAGCGATTCTCCTGCCTCAGCCTCCTGCGTAGCTGGGATTACAAGCATGTGCCACCACACCCAGCTAACTTTTGTATTTTAGTAGAGACAGGGTTTCTCCATGTTGGCCAGGTTGATCTCGAACTCCTGACATCAGGTGATCCGCTGCCTCAGCTTCCCAAAGTGCTGGGTTACAGGTGTGAGCCACCATGCCCAGATGCGATTTACATCAAGCCCATAGAAAATCTGTGCCCTTGTCCCCCATACCTTCACCCAGTTGGTGAAAGCACAGTTGGTTTCAACACTGCCTCTTTTCTTTGTGGCCACGGCAGCTGTGATCCCAGCCACTCACCATTGTGTTTCCAGGTGTTATGGGCTCAGCAAGATATATGGAAGTCCCTCAACAAGATATAAGTCCTTTAAGATATACCAAAGTCCTAATCCCCAGTACCCCAGAACGTGACTAGATTTGGAAATAGGGTAGTTACAGAGTGCAGATGTAATTAATTAAACTTAGATGAGGTCATAATAGGTATCAAGTGGGTTCTTCATCCAGTAGGACTGGTGTCCTTATAAGAAGACAGAGACAAGCAGGAGACGGTGGCCTTGTGACAGTAGAGACAGAGATGGGAGCGATACATCCACAGTCAAGGATACCAAAGATTGCAGGCAAACACCAGAAACTAGGGAGAGACAAAGAAAGATTCTCCCCTCAAGGTTTCAAGTATGGCCTTTCGTCTCTGACTTTCAGCCTCCTGAACTGTGAGACAATAAATTTGTTGTTTTAAGTCACACAGTTTGTGACACTGTTATGACAGCCCTAGGAAACTGATGCACCAGCATTAGGAGACATAGTCCAATTCCCCAGGTTGTTCTCTAAAGTCCCCTTAAAGCCAAGGGTGGGGAGGGAAATGATATAGTAGACAGCACTACCCCAATTCTGTGTCTAAAGAAATCCTCAGGCGCCTTCACGAATTCTGAAAGAATGCTCAGTTTTTTCAAAGATTGATAGGTATGCTGTGCATGCATGTGTGGTACCTACTCAACTTTCCTCAGACTTTGGTGTCTTGGATAAAACAGACAGTGGAAAAATTTATATTTTCATGTCCTGTAACACTTACATGTCCTTCTACTTAGCAATTCCACTTCCAGTTATTATCCTAGAGAAATAACTTATAGCTGAACACAAAGATGCATGAACATGGCCATGCACTGAAGCATTGTTTATAATAGTCAAAAATTTAAATGACCTAATGACATCCAGTAGCAAAATAATTAAATGAAGGCATAGATCTATATAGAGGAATAGTATTAAACAGAAGGTTGACATTAGCATAGCTACAATGCATATTGTAGAATTTTAATAAGCTACAAAGGGAGATACACAATATGGATCCAAGTATGCCAAAAGAAAACTGTACATTTGTATATATGTATGTGTATATAAATGCATAGAAAAGAATTTTGAGGCTGGGTGTGGTGGCTCATGCCTGTAATCCTGCACTTTGGGAGGCCAAGGCGGGTGAATCACTTGAGATCAGGAGTTCAAGACCAGCCTGGCCAACATGGCGAAACCCCATCTCTACTAAAAATACACAAAATTGGCTAAGTATAGTGGTGCATGCCTGTAATCCCAGCTACTTGGGAAGCTGAGGCAGAAGCATACCCGGGAGGCGGATGTTGCCATGAGCAGTGTGAGACTCTGTCTCAAAAAAAAAAAGGAGTTTTGAAGGAGACTCAGGAAATTCAGGATAGTGACTACCTCTGAAGGATAGAGCTTGGAGAGGGAAAATAAAGGAAAGCTTTCCCTTTTTGCTATGTAGACTTGGCTCAGTTTTTTCATTTTAATTATTCCAGTGGAAACATTTTACTTTTGCAATTAAAATGCAACATTAACATTGAAAATGCAGGCGGGGGCCAGTGGCTCACGCTTGTAATGCCAGCACTTTGGGAGGCCAAGGCGGGCAAATCATGAGGTCAGGAGTTTGAGACCAGCCTGGCCAACACAATGAAATCCCATATCTACTAAAAATACAAAAATTAGCTGGGCGTGGCAGCAGGCGCCTGTAATTCCTGCTACTCGGGAGGCTGAGGCAGGAGAATTGCTTGAACCCGGGAGGTGGAGGTTGCAGTGAGCCAAGATTGCACCATTGCATGCCAGCCTGGGTGACAAAGCTAGATTCCACCCCCCCCAAAAAAAAAATTGAAAATGCAGTAATTACATGAAGTTGGAGAAATGGGTTTTGATTTTCTAGAGAATTTCCCATTCCATGTTGATTAGATTTTGTCTCTGTAGCCTCCCAATGTAAACACCGATAGATGTCAATACACCGATAGATGTTTAGCAGCTGGTAGTTCCTGCCATGTACAACTGCCAAGCAGCAGTGAGGTCCTTTGTTTCAGAGGTGTGTGGGTGCAGTGATTATTTGCTACGGTTGGAAACTTGTTTAAGGAGGTTCACGCAAGTGAGGTGAATGGCATTAAGGGGGAAGAAATGTGCTTCAGAGTCCTGAATTTGTGCCTTCAGGGACCTGGCCTCAGGCTAAGTCCAGTCATTGGGAGCACGCTGGACTTCGAGGTTGTGAATTCATCACTAAAAGTTTGCTTCATTGCCAAGATGCCATTTCCAAACATATAGTGATTGCCTTGCAAATGCATCCTGAAGACATGACCCTATTTCTCTGACTTTCATTCATCAGACCAAGACTTTAATAATGGATACTGATGTCTCCCTGCTGCTGGGTCCAAAGTCGTCCTCTAGAAGAAATTTCTTTTGACCTTAAAAATAGGTTTTGGCCGGGCGCGGTGGCTCAAGCCTGTAATCCCAGCACTTTGGGAGGCCGAGGTGGGTGGATCACGAGGTCAAGAGATCAAGACCATCCTGGTCAACATGGTGAAACCCCGTCTCTACTAAAATTACAAAAAATTAGCTGGGCATGGTGGCGCGTACCTGTAATCCCAGCTACTCAGGAGGCTGAGGCAGGAGAATTGCCTGAACCCAGGAGGCGGAGGTTGCGGTGAGCCGAGATCGCGCCATTGCACTCCAGCCTGGGTAACAAGAGCGAAACTCCATCTCAAAAAAAAAAAAAAAAAATAGGTTTTGTTCCTTTTCCTGTCAACCCACTCTTCACTTGCAGGATGCTTTGCCTGTATTGGTTACCCAGAAATGATTACATGAAGAATGAAAGAAAAAGAACTAAACATCCATAATTTTTTTTTTAAAACCCAGGTTTTTCTTTTATATTTTAAATATAAAGTTAACTTTGGGAGGCTGAGGCAGGAGGATCGCTTGAGGCTAGGAATTTGAGATCAGCCTAGGCAACAAAGTGAGACCCCCATCTCTACAAAAAATAACAAAAATTAGCTGGGTGTGGTGTGCATGCCTGTAGTCCAGCTACTGAGGAGGCTAAGGTCAGAGGATTGCTTGAGCCCAGGAGGTTGAGGCTGCAGCGAGCTGTAATTGCACCACTACACTCTATTCTGGAGCTCTCATGGAGCTGCTGGCTGACCAGGGAGGGATACTATTCCATTTCTGATAACAAAGGATCTAAGCCCCTCTGTTATTGACTTCATCTTCTCAAAGCGGCTCCACCATGCTGTTGTAGCTGTACCACTGGCCACCCGGAGAGTTTCTACAGTAGCCTGCAGCGGTCCAAACCTCAGTTATTGGAGCACCCAAAAGAAGGAAGGCATTTCCCACTGGCATAGCTGAAAATAGACATTCTTATAACAGAGCGAGAAAAAACCCGCCCATTTATGGCCAGACCAGAAATGAATTTTGTGGAGTCAAAAAGAACAGTAAGTCACACTCCCACATTCTAACTGACAGCACGCTGCTGTTTTAAGTTCAGTCCTATGTAGTAACTTTTGCTCAGGCAAAATCGCCAATAAAAGGGAGCCCCAAGTTTTGGAGCCTGACAATAATTTCACCCTGTTTCTTCTGGGAAGCTTCCAAATGTGCATCTCCAATTAAGTATGCAGTTAAAAGGAAAGTGAGATCACAATAACAATAATTGTATGGTAACTCGCCGTTAGTTTGAGAATCAGGCACACATAACAAACTCCGTGCGGTCCCAGCATGTCTGCTTTTTTGTTCATTCTTTTATTTATTTACGATGTTATCTGCTAGATGTCTAGGACCAGGCTAAGATCTAAATGGTGCTCAGTATTATTGTTGGAATAAAGGAATGACAAAGCTAAAAAAGAATTATTAAGCTGCATATGTATTTTTTCTCAAACCAGTGTCGTGTTACTCTTGCTATGCACAGATGGAAAGCAACATTGAATGTATTAATGCTTATTCTATTACTAGGTGAGAATCCTGAACTCTCTGGCTTAGAAAGAATCTTAGCAAGACATCAGTTGCCAGAAGAGATTAATCTGACCCCAAAGCCGAACAGAATGCCCCCGTGGAAAAGAAAAATCATCAACAATGTAAATGATGCGTGGAAGAAATGTCACTTACTGAAGAGAAACACGAATGAGCCTCCCATGTCCACCATAGTTGTCAGGTAGACTCTAATTTCTGCCCTATGTGGATATACTTAGAGATACACAGGGTGATCACAAATTCTCTATATGCCTTAGCTAAAAAACGATTTAATGCGGTCTTTAACATATACAGAGAGCATAAAAATTGTTGCAGCCCACAGTCCCTGGGTAAAGAAAAACAAGACACAGAGAAACAGCAAAGCAGTGGACAGTCCAGCCGAGGACTGACCCCAACTGTTTGTTCCACAGCATGTTTACTGAGGATACAAGGAAGAACCTAATTCATAATTAATCTGATTATAAACTATTAAGGACAAAGGTTCAGGAAATGTTCTTGAACAGAGGAGGGTTTTTTTTGTTTTTTGTTTTTTTGGTTTTTTTTTGTTGCCCAGGCTGGAGTGCAGTGAGGCGATCTTGGCTTACCACAACCTCCACCTCCTGGATTCAAGTGATTCTTCTGCCTCAGCCCCCGAAGTAGCTGGGATTACAGGTGAGTGCCACCACACCCAGCTATTGTTTTGTATTTTTAGTAGAGACGAGGTTTCACCATGTTGGCCAGGATGGTCTCAAACTCCTGACCTTGTGATCTGCCTGCCTTGGCCTCCCAAAGTGCTGGGAATACAGGCGTGAGCCACCTGCATCAGGCCTAGCAGAGGAGGTTTATTGGAAAGCAAATGTATCTTCTTGGAACATCAGCACTTTCATAGGGTACTCAGCATTCTCGAGTTCTGGCCAAGTGCATAATTGCTAAGTTCATCCACAACCTCTTATCAATAGGGTGAGTATGTCTCAATGTATGATCTCCTGCTTCTGGGAACTTGCAGTAAGGAGTAATCAGGAATATTTGAGGCTGCTGAAATTCTCCACAATTCCCTCCCCACCCCCACCCTTTTTTTTGAGATAGAGTCTCACTCTGTCGCTAGGCTAGAGTGCAATGGGGCAGCCTTAGCTCACTGCAACCTCTGCCTCCTGGGTTCAAGTGATTCTCCTGCCTCAGCCTCTCAAATAGCTGGGATTACAGGCTCGTATCACCACACCCAGCTAATTTTTGTATATTTAGTAGAGATGGGGTTTCACCATGTTGGCCAGGATGGTCTCTATCTCTTGACCTCGTGATCCACCCTTCTCGGCCTCCCAAAGTGCTGGGACCATTGTTGGATGGGGTCCACCTGAATTGTTTGGATCTTAGAAACTTCTTTTTGGATGGTTTTTAAAGCCACAGACACAGACACACCTAATCAGGGATAAGGTGCAGCACTCGGTTTTCATGATAGCACACCCTCCCGCTTTGGGCTGCTGTGAGCATGTCTAGAGCCATTTTATTTTGTAGCACAATTCTTTGAATCTGGCTTACTTCTTTATTCAGCAACGTAATTCCTGCTTGAGTTGCATTAAAGGCAGCAGCTGGGTGCTTGGCGAGGGCCTCTACAGATTGTTCAGTTGAGATTGCCCTGGCTTGTGGCGAAAATACAGTTGTTAAATAGTGCCACCAGGAGGCATGGCGGCGTCTAGACAGATATTTATGTTCTACCATTTCCCAGTGATTTGGTAATTGAGGAAGATGTTCAAGGATTCGGGCCGGAATGTGTGGCTTTCCCCAGCAGCAGATATTGGACCAATTTAATGGAAGGCATAACCAGCCATGACTTTCACAGAACCATAAATTACCAGGAGAGACAGCATATACTCCATAAGAATTGTTTTGCCCCGATCGACTGGTCAGCGTCTCACATCCCCATTTAGTGCTTGAATTTGGTACACTTATGGTCTGACACAATTCCGTAGGTGAACTACCTACTGGAATTTCTTCTTTTTGAGAAATACAGCTCGGAATCCTTTGGGGCAACACTACTTTTTCCGTGGTATACCAGAGAGTTCCGTCCCACACAGAATACCCGAAGGAAGGTTTAGGGGGCAGTTTGGTGTGACGCCACTTTAAATATCAAGAAAATAAGGAACCAGGAATGTTGTGACGTTTTTTCCACTGTAAAAAATGTCCCCAGTCTTTTTCTATAAATTATCTTTTAAACTGCCGCCACATCTCATTACAGGATATGGTTTTTTCTATTCTGCCACCACTCCAGATGTTCCCACTGGGACGGAGCTTCAGGGTGCATACTCCATGGACACCCTGCACCACTAGAAACAGGAAACCAGGCACACATCCAGCAGTTGGATTGGTTAGCAACCTGCACTGTGGTCTGGGTCCATTGGACATAGGTGTTAGCAGAGACAAAACATAACAGTATTGCCATTAAGACCCCTACTTTGATCGAAGAAGCTGTGAGTGTTGCCATCACAGCCAGTAATAAATTTTCTGGTGTAAGTTCCTGTCCTGCATTACGAATAGCCGTTTCAGTGTGACCAGAGGATTTTCATGTTCTCCCAAGTAGGCAACTTATGATCTCCTTCCCCTTCTCTGGGGAACAGTAGGTGCCTTTCTCTCTGGCTGCTCGGTCGTCATCAATCAGAACTTTGGGATCAGGTTTTTCAATCCTTGATGCCAACTCATGGTATGGTTTAACGCATCAAGGAGGAACTCACAGAGGACCTGTAGGAGAAGCACAGCAGCATAGCCTCCTCTGCATGTGATAAGGGGCACTGGCCCCTTCCACATGGGATCCGGTGGCTGTTGATACAATATTAATGGTTTATCTGATTCTTGTGGGTTAGAAAAATAAGTGACCGCATGTGAGATTACTGCCGGCATTTTAAAAAGTAAATGGTCAATAGTCAACAAAGCGATATTAATCCTAACTCACGGCTTTGTCAAGGGAGGCAACTCCGCCTTTTGTTTTTTCAGAACTAGCTTTAACAGGTGATGAGCTTGTTCTACATTGGCTTGTCCAGTAGGATTATAGGGAATGCCGAACGTATGCTTGATATCCCAGCGAATGCAAAAAGCAGCAAATGTTTGAGAAGCATAGGCAGGTTCATTGTTCGTCTTAAGCAGATGAGGATAACCCAAAGCAGCAAAAGCCTGAAAAAGATGATTATGAATGTGATTAACACGCTCATCTTTCTTTTTTTTTCATTTTTTTTTTTTGAGATGGAGTTTCGCTCTTGTTACCCAGGCTGGAGTGCAGTGGCACGATCTCGGCCCACCGCAACCTCCGCCTCCCGGGTTCAGGCAATTCTCCTGCCTCAGCCTCCTGAGTAGCTGAGATTACAGGCACGCGCCACCATGCCCAGCTAATTTTTTGTATTTTTAGTAGAGACGGGGTTTCACCATGTTGACCAGGATGGTCTCGATCTCTTGACCTCGTGATCCACCCGCCTCGGCCTCCCAAAGTGCTGGGATTACAGGCTTGAGCCACCGCGCCTGGCCCCACGCTCACCTTTTTGAGGAGAAGCCCAGGTAGCGTTGGAAAATGTATTAATAGAAACATGAACATCTGGGAGAGGTTTAAGATTGGGAATCTGAGTAACATCCATTTGCCTTAGCTCATCTGGAGCAGGGCCTCTGGGATTCGTGCCTATGGCAGCACTAGAAAATGTTAATGCCTGACAAGTAGGGCAAGAATAGACAAGTTGCTGAGCTTGCTGCTTAGGAATAGAAAAATATTTTATTAGTGAATGGGCATTCTGATGGAAGAATTGATGAGAAGAAAAAGGATTGGTAAATAAAGAATTAATCAGCCGCAGACTAGTGTTTGCAATTTTGTTCGCAGTTGCCAAGGGCCCTGAAAGATGGGAGTAGCTGCGAATATGCATTAGGAAGACGGTTTTACTGTGACGGGACAGCAATATTTGAACAGCTAGAAATAAGGGCAGCAGATGAGTTGAAATATTGTCCCTTATAGTGGCCTGAGGCAATAGGGGAACAAGATTGGCAACGTATGAGGAATTAGGGATAATATTAAGCACACAATGGGGGAATTTTTGAAGAGCTAATATTAGAGCTCCAACTTCTGCTTTTTGAGTTGACGACATTTACGGAGAAAAGCGTTTATTCCATTTGTTATTTGCACACCAAACCATGACTTCCTGATGTGGCTTACTATTAGTAAAAACAGTGAGAGCGTTTGGAATAGGATGCAAGCTGATTATAGTTTGTTGCTTTCAGGGTAAGAGTTTTGAGGCTTGGAGATGAAAGTCTGAAGGAAAATGGGAAGTCAAGTGTTTTATGTAATTAGATGCTGCTATTTGAAAGGATAAATTATGAGTATAAACTGGTGTCATTTGTTCCATTGGAAAAGGTAAATGGATTTTTATGACATAACAGCCTTGTAACTACAAAGCTTAATGACAGCCAAGAGAAATTGAAATAATGGAGGCAAGTGGAGTGGGAATAGGGTGTTTAGGCTGTGATGGCAAGTGGAGCCATTTAACAATCAATAGTTGGTTCTTGTTGGTTATTTGACCCAATAGTGCTGTAGGGCTTAAAGGTGTTAACAAAATAAAGAGGTGTAAGGAATGATCCAGGAAATGCTAAAAGAACTTTTTATTAGCCAGTTGCGATAATTTCTGATGTTGTTCGTTAAGGACGTGTATGGAGACAGGGGAGGAGGTTCCTGCCAGCAATAGAAATGTTTTAACAAATAGGTAGGAATACCCAAAGAGGCCCGTAACCAATTGATATGTCCCGATACATGCTGGAGCTGAGATGATGTCAATGGAGATGGAATACCCAGAGATGGCAAGGTTGGGTGAACTGTGAATTGAAACCCCAAGTAAGAATAAGGTTCTTTGTATTGAACCTTTTCTGGGGCTATATGAAGTCCTGCCCTTATAAGGACCTGTTGTAATTCTTGAATTGGGAGGTCTTAATTAGGTTCAGCTAACAAAATATTAAACTTGTAATGACATAATAGAAGGTGAGGATATAACTGTTGAAAAGGTTTTAAAGCCACACTAATGTAATATTGACAAAGAGTGGGAGAATTCATTAGACCTTGAGGAACACGATCCAATGATAGCGTTGAGTAGGCTGAGAGTTACTGTATTCAGGAACAGAAAAGGCAAAGTGTGGTCTGTCTTTTGGATATAGGGGAATGTTAAAAAAAAAAAAAGTTCTTTA